TCTCAGTGAAACTCCAGAAAGATCAGTGATCGACGTGCTAATCTTCGTTTCTCAGGTTGACAGTTCTAGTAATAAAGTTCTAATTTAAGTGAACAGTTGTCTGATATGCTTAAAATAACAGACAATGAATGTACGGGTGTTATATTCAGGCCTGCAGCTGGTGGTTATCACTCACAATAACAGCTTTATTTAGCGAATTGACTCATACTTGTGTCATGCTGTTATTTTATCTTCCAGACTTTTCTTAAACACATTTTTTTAGAAGAACCTGTATGAAGGTTATTTAGGTCATCTTAAAAGGCCCGCTTAGAATGCAACTTAAAGACTCAAATTTGAATGCAACAACAGCCCCATTGAAATTCAGCCTTGGGCTTCTCAACCTTTGGTTTATGTCTAGCCAGTTTTAGCAAGAGGAATGCAGCACAAAAATTCCACTGGACTTTGAGCACAGGGGTCCCTCCAACTCTGCAAAAGACTGCTGAGCAGCCAGATTCCACCAGCTTTATTGTTTGATGTATTATTATATCAGGGCATTGTATTATCACAACATAGACTCATGCACTATTGTCAAGAAAGCATATGCGCCATTCTCATTTGATTGGCCAGATTGTGACCAAGCCGACAGGAATCCTTGAATAATATGAAGGGGATCACAGTGGAATGGCCGTCTCTACATATGAATGAACATGATTAAAGGAAAACTAACAAGGATAAATAATGAAATAACAACCGAAAGATGGAGAACAGCCTCCATGCCATTATGTAATCCATGCATTACAAATGAAAATGTATTGATCTGTACATGTTTGGACAGGGAACATACAATATGTTTTTTCTTAATTATACCATGTGTAGTAGTTTTCCATAGTTAGGGAGGAGTAGGTCATGTTTGTACTGGTTGACGGGACACTGACTGAGAGGCAGGACCTAATATATTTCATTTGATGTCCTGCCATGAACCCCAAGCATGTGACCATGGTGTCAGTTCTTGACCCATCTCTAGACACCACTCTTCTATAACTCTTCTTCTGCCACATAAAAAAGAAGAATATATTATTGCGTGACAGCCATAAAAGAAATATGTAGTAACGGCTGGTTACAATTTCCCATAAAATACAATATGGCCTATAAAGGCAGTAACAAAAGGACTAGAATGAATGCAAACTTGGGTTAACCATCCTCTGAGCTCGTAATATAAATAAACCACAGCTGTTTGCCTCTCTAAATATGCATTATCTTGGAATGAGTGCTCATTTACTACACACAAACACACCACAATGACGGCTACTTCTTGGACAATTAAATGTCAATGACACTGTATGGTGGTTCAATACAAAGCAGTTTTTTAATGAACTACATTTACGCAAAACAATGCTTTACCAAGTGGCACAATTTCAGAATCAGTATTTAAATGGCCCTTTCAGCCTCCCAGTCATGCAGCTCAGCTTATCAACATTGGTTTAATCAATAGCATGCGTTTTAAAGCGGGATCTGCTTGATGACTAATGGCAGACAGGGTGAATATTTTGGAAATCGGTTTAGCATTATTCAGTCATTTAGTTTTGTACTTCTGGCCAACCCGATCCCATGAGAAAATGTAACTATTTTACGAGGTGAAGATTTTGTATGAATTCGTACAATGCGATTCGCACAGAAACATGCAAGTTTTAAAAAAAGTAAGCCAGAGGGACCACCCCGAACCATTAGTGGGACGTAAACATATTGTATGAAAACGGACGAAAGAAACCAGACAAATTCATATGAATTAGTCACCAATTCGCCAAAATGTAAAATTGACTGCCATGAGAGTGTGATGGTTCTGGATCAAAAATGACTTCCTTCACCTTATGTTTTGCTTTAATCCATTGCATGACTAACCTTTGTCCTTACCACCAACTCGGAACCACAATAGAGTATGAATGAATTTTGCACAAATTTGTACAATGCAATTCACTGAAAATGTACACTTACTAGAAAAAAGTAAGTATGAAGGTCCATAAACCTAACCATCAATAGGACACAAGCTCATACAAACATATACAAAAGAGAGTGTACAAATTCTTGAATTAGAGACCAATTTGCCAAAACATACAACAGATATGGATTGGTGGTTCTGGGACTGAAATTACTCACTACATCTCTTGTTTTGGTTAAATCTATTATATGACTAGCCCTTGTCCTACAAACAATTGGAAACCACAAAAGAGTACAAATGAATGTTGTATAAATTTGTACAATGTGATTTGTACGGAAACATACATTTTTTAGAAAAAAGCATGAAGGTCCAACTCTAACCACACCCATAAACCTAACCATTATGTATGGAAGCCCGTTTCCGCCACTGAATAAAAAAATATAATTCTGTAAGTCATAATAATGAGAAACTTTCTCAAAATTATGACTTAGTATCTCGTTATATTGAGAAACTTTCTCGTAATAATGACTTAGTTTCTCGTAATAATGAGAAACTTTCTCGTAATAATGA